AAAACATATAACAGGGCTTGTCCAGGTCCCGTCTACTAAGTTTTCTTTACCTTGTAGTGGAAAACATATAACAGGGCTTGTCCAGGTCCCGTCTACTAAGTTTTCTTTACCTTGTAGTGGACGTTAAGGAGCCAATGAAGATTCCGATGCGATATTTGTCAGTGTCTGTGCTTTACCGCATTGTTGGCAATATACACTAATTACTGAGCCTACTCATGATTTTAAACTGTTTCAAGTCTTCCAAAATCATGTAAAATCGTATTAACTCATACTAGTTTTGCAATAATTTACTGATCTCCATTTCTATCTGTCCCTTCTTCCTAATCTCCCTTTCAACATGGCCTCAATAAGACGATTTTCATGATGCATCTTTTCCATGATCTTCAAAAGCTGTGTGAGTGTAGCAAACGAGAGCTGAAATATCTCCGAGTGATCATTGCTGGATCTCTATATAGTTTGACAAGGTAAAATCCCCTAATCGAATATTGGTGAGAAAAGACGTATCTCGCATTAGTAAATGTCAAAATTGTAACACCGTAAAAAAATGCTTTTTGCTTCATTGCAAGTCAAATGAGTTCAGTATTAAACGGGAAACATCAATTTCAAAATTCAAGAACAGAAGCGAATTTTACTCGCCAATATGCGATATGCAGAGACGCCATTTTGTGCAAATACATGATTGGAGTTGTAGTCCTTGTACTTTTTATAGCCTCTAAAAAATATCGCTAAAAGCCGTTTATATTTCCTTAATTTGTTTGAACGGCGCAACTACTTCTATTTTCGCAAAGAACGCAGTGAGGGTTGTTTTTAAGGACATGAAAAAGTTCAAGGAGTACGGACTACAATACCGTCGCTGCACCATTGCGTATTGGACAACTTTTTAGCACTCGTTCTCTCGTACAAACAAACAATTCGTATCGGCACCAACAAAACTACATCAATAAATGTCCGCTCGTCCATAAAAAAAGAACAAGAAGAGGGACAATGCAATGGTCTTAAAATTTATGCGAAAAAAAAAAGAAATGAAAGAAATGTCCTAAAAAACTTGGGTAGGTTTAGATATGTTCCTCCCTGTCATTCACGCATTAATGCGCTTCATAAGAAAACTATGTCTAAAATGGTTGATGTATTCCTACAGATCGTATATTAACTTTGACAATAGAATGAATTAAGTTCGCCTTCCAAATCTGTACTTAATATAATAGTACAATTATTGCATTTATTTTTTCCTTCAATAGAACCCTACAATTTGATATGTCTAGAGAAACTAGAGAAGGGAGTATCGTTAAGACGGTATTTTAAAATAGCTACAGTAATTATTGCGTTGTATCGAGAAGAGATAATACAAATGTAAAATTAGAATTTTTGAAATTAGCTTTGACACCTTTTGTAATTTATTTGAAATGCCTATTATCAAGCTCCTTGGCCTACTTGCATCCGAGACATTTTTGCTGGATTCTGGATTCCAAAAAATTTGATTTCGGATTCCAAAGCTGTTTTTTTTGACTGGATTCTGGATACCTTTAGCTTTACATGTGGCGATACTATGACATGCAATCCCCATGCAAGCAACGATTGCGTGCTTCTCGCCCATAACGGTTGATATATACGCGTAATTGAAATAAACATATTGTCGCGATATCGAAGCTATAGAGCGGATTTCGTATGAGTGGGACACCGTTACCGCACGGTTACCGCACAGTTACCGGACCTGGCCTTCACAATTTTGGTGAAACAATGGGGCACTAGAATTTGGTTACAGTACGATTACGGTCACAGTACAGTACCGTCCTTTTCCCACTCATACGAAATCCGCTCTATAGCAAAGTAAATAGTTACAGTACTTACCCGCTTATAAGAACGGCCCATTTTTTCACATTTAGCCTAAACGGGTTCTTATGTAAATGGTGCTTAGTGGAATTTTAGGCCATGCAGGTTTATTTATTCCTTATGTAATGAAAATTTTCAAACATTATTTATACCAAATTTATACACATGTGTACACATGTTCAAGTTCATTATAGTTTTTTTTATAAAAATGTTTTTTTTAGGTTTATTTCTTTAAGAACCTATCTATAAGAACTTGTTTCAAATTTTAGGCTAAATAGGTTCTTGTGTAAATAGGGTCCAAATTGATATTTTTAGGCTATAAAAAGTTCTTAAACTGCAGGTTCTTAAGGCCCGTTTACACTTGAAATTTTTGCAGCGCGATTGTCGCGCGACAATCGCCACTTTGTTATCTGTTCTTTATAAGCGGGTAAGTACTGTATTTTATTTATTTAACTAAAGGATGATCTCGGGAGCTCGAGGTATTATTGACAGACAGTATTAATTTGGTTAATGATAATTAAACGATATATTATGACTGATATGCTTCAAACTTCAAAGAATATACTTGCTTCTTTTCCTCCCTTTTGAGGCATTGGTGAGGAGATAATTTCTTTTCGTTCCACTCAAGTGATCCTAGATTCATTGCTATTCGTCTTTAGTACAGTTTTTGGTAATATCTTGTGCGGGATGTGCTAGGTCTGATATGTCTTTTTCAAAGCTCCATAAAGCCGGAGCTCTCAGAAACACTGCCGACACAGTAACTACACCAATAACAATGGATAAAACAAGCACAAACCGATCCAGAATTCGTGCAGCCAGAGTCCACTCACACTTTCTAAGGTCGCGTTCTTCATCGCTGATGTCTTGGCTATCGTCTGTACAGCAACCTGTGAATGTTTTGCCTTCTCTTACGTCTCCACTCTTACCAGTAGCAATGTTGAACTTGGGATATACATTGATGCCGTAAAGAGTCTGTGTGGTGTCGGTGTCTGCATTCTGTTCGGCACTGTAACGCTCACTAATATCGCTGTACTTGTCGAAGTGTTCAAGCTCCAGGCCGGTGGCACCCTCAGTTCTAGCTCTGCCTATAAATAATTAAACGTTGTTAGCAATGCTGGCGCCATTTTGAATAATGGAGAAATTATGGGATGTCCGTGGAACAAAAGAAACTGGTACCAAAAAATAATTTCTTTGAAAATTGTGGGATAATTCTTTTTAACCATCCAAATGTACTTTGTTTTATCGTGTTTCAGTCTTTGAATGTCTTCTTTAGTGTCTATGGAATGCAGTCGTTACAATTCAATATGGCGACCGTATTATGGTGGTATTTGCTACGAGTTCGTACTTGAATGTTCTTAGTTCTGTTACAGAACCTTTTCAGCCCGCGATCTCTTGAATGCGCATGAGCATGCAAGCTTTTTTGGATCTTTTTCCCCGTGACCAACGGCTCAACGGAGCGGGCTAAAAAGTGTCTGGGAATGGTGGCAGTTTTCAAACGGCACAGGGACAAATGTTAGGTGTGGGTCGCGTATGACATGCAGTGCAGCGATTTCTGAGCCAATTACTAGCTCTGATCGGGCAACATATTGCTCAAAAATAAAATTATCTCGACTAGGGTAAGGTCCTCTCGGCATTTCATTGGTTTATGAGCTGGATTTGGTCTTTTTATACCGAAACGTTTTGTTAAAGCTATCTTGGCTTAACTTCAAGAATTAACTAGGGGCACTAAATTACATTTAACAAAACATTAAAGTCAAGTAAAATTAGCATTATCATCGATACCTCTTCGAGTGGTTGCGCGAAAGCTCTTTCTTTGGGAGTCCTTAGCCTTGTTGTCGTACTTTGATTCGAGATTCACTCGGTTTTCTTCGTTTGTCCTGCGGTTATTTTTTCCATACATCTTCTTAACCTCATCGTGTAGGAAAACCAGCCGCGACGTCCATTCCAAGACCACCCTTCTTATTAAGTACGGCATTTGGCGATGCGTGCGATGGTAGAAATTCAAAATCAAAGTAGTGGCAACTATAGAGGTGCTTATCTCGAGAACAATGGCAAAGTAATACTGTCCGAGTATCGGGAAATCGTACGATGGCATTATTTCTGAAGTAAGCTGCTGAAAAACGGTCATGGCTAGTAGGACGGTGATGCTCAAGCCAATTCGTTCACCCGATTCCGGGGGGAGTATGAACCCGAGGAATATCATTGACGAGATGAGACAGCATGGAATGATTAAATTAATGAGATAGTCACTTGCATTTCTCCTCATTTTAATGAAAAACTCGATGTGATCAAATTTACGTTGGCAGCACTGGTATTTTTTCCTTTTCCGACACATCCACATTTTTGTAACTGTCCACTCTCCATTCTCCGTGTAGTACGTAGATGGAAATTTGATCGGCATTGGCCTCAGTTGCAGCCTACTATTGTCCTGAGTCCACGAACCGAACTTCAAAGTACAGTTTTGCTCGTCTAAAGGAAAGTAGATGACACTTATTTGACAGACTAATTTAAACAGAGACGGATTATGCCAGAAGTTTTCTCCAGTGCTCTTCACGACAACATCTGTCTTGTATGAATTTCGACCTCCGGCATGGCGATCTTGATGGTCTATGCTGTCAAAGACACGTACCAATATAAGTCGCAACATAGTCCAACATTGTCAGACGCAACATAATCCAACATTGTCAGTCGCAACATAATCCAACATTGTCAGTCGCCACATAATCCAACATTGTCAGTCGCAACATAATCCAACATTGTCAGACGCAACATAATCCAACATTGTCAGACACATAACATAATCCAACATTGTCAGTCGTAACACAATCCAACATTGTCAGACGCAACACAATCCAACATTGTCAGTCTCAACATAATCCAACATTGTCAGACGCAACATAATGCAACATTGTCAGTCGCAACATACTGCAACATTGTCAGTCGCAACATAATCCAACATTGTCAGTCGCCACATAATCCAACATTGTCAGTCGCAACATAATCCAACATTGTCAGTCGCAACATAATCCAACATTGTCAGTCGCAACACAATCCAACATTGTCAGTCGCCACATAATCCAACATTGTCAGACGCATAACATAATCCAACATTGTCAGACGCATAACATAATCCAACATTGTCAGTCGCAACATAATCCAACATTGTCAGTCGCCACATAATCCAACATTGTCAGTCGCAACATAATGCAACATTGTCAGTCGCAACATAATCCAACATTGTCAGTCGCAACATAACCCAACATTGTCAGTCGCAACACAATCCAACATTGTCAGACGCATAACATAATCCAACATTGTCAGTCGCAACATAATCCAACATTGTCAGTCGCCACATAATCCAACATTGTCAGTCGCAACATAATGCAACATTGTCAGTCGCAACATAATCCAACATTGTCAGTCGCAACATAACCCAACATTGTCAGTCGCAACACAATCCAACATTGTCAGACGCATAACATAATCCAACATTGTCAGTCGCAACATAATCCAACATTGTCAGTCGCAACA